AAAAAAAAAAAAAAAAAAAAAAAATAAGATGAATCTTTACCTTTTGCTTTTCTCTCCTGTATCTTCTTTGCATATTATTATGACCCTTCATGAATTCTTGTTGGCTCCAGTAGGAAAGGAGGAGTCTGTGTCACTCAACTCAACTCAGATTTTGCTCCTCTGGGACATCTTCCCAGCCCAACACCATCCACTTCCTTCCTTCATGGCCTCATGACATCCTTTGTGGCTGTCCCCTGAGCACTGGTCTCTCCCTATATCAGCTTTCAGTACCTGCTTCATCCAGTATTCTGAGTACCAGACCTTAGAACTGCCAATTACCCAGATAGAGAAAATACCTTTAAATAAAGCATTTGCCAACACAATTATAGTTTATAACAAAATTTTATTAGGATTAAGTCAAATTAGAAAACTTCATGCTTCATCACTTGCCATATTTACCTAAAATGACAAAATTATACTTAGTTGAGTATAAAACAATGTGCCCCAGATTCTACTATTTGTAAAGCAAGAGAATTGCATATAGCAGTGTGCCTGACACCACCATGGTTAATGTTTAAGGCCTAATAAGTGATCAGCAAAGCGTTCATTACTTTCAAGCTTTGGGCCTGAGGAAGATGTTGTTTCCTGTCTCCCTCAAGAGCAGACTCATCATAGCCTGCACATCAAAGACTGAAGCCTACATTTTGGAATCTCATAGTAACATCTGTGTTTAAAGAGAAGCTAGGCTTGAGGTATCTTATGGCTTAAAAGGCACAGGTCATGCAGCTGAATTCAAAGCTATAGTGTTGATCTCTGGAATGTAGGCCATGAGCCACACCTGGTACCAAGGAGTCCTGAGGCCCTGCCCTTGGTTTCTGGGCATGAACCACACATGGTCAGGCCTGCAGCTCTCACCCTGCTCCTGAACTGCTAATTAGCTGTGAGTGCTGGACCAGGGGATGGGGGATCAGGCTCCTGCATGGTCTCCTACCATGTGGACAACAACACGTACTGCAAAATCTTATTACCTAACAGCCGGGGGACCTGATGCAGAGCCAAGAAGTGGCTCATGTGCAAGCAAGGACAAGAAGGCTTGCTTTTCAGGTAAGACCTGGTACTGGTTAGGGGAGCCTACTTTCCCTGGAAGGGGTCCTACTGACCAGGAAAGTGGCACTTCATTTTGCATCAGGACCCCTGTAAGCAAGCCCTTGGACCAGTGGGAGAGGTAATGTGGAAAGGATGCCAGCAAAACAAGTA